GTAATATCGGATCTAGTATGTACCTATTATACTTGGGCCATTTTATAATTCAAATTTCTATAACGCCAGTAGGCGTAAGCCCCTGCATATTTTCCAAACCCCTTATAACTATCCTATATAATGACCTAAAATTATCATTAGTACACCAAGTTAAATAACTCAAATTATTCTAATTTTGATTTTGATACGTCAAAATTATCCGCTAAATAATTTACAGTAGTAAAGGGGGGTTATCATTTCAAAAACAGGAGTGTGTACCTCCATTCTACACAGTAAGGAGTGCCCTGTAATACAAAAAAATCTCAAGAATATCACACTGCAGGTTTTTACCATTTTACCTATAGACTATATCGTCTGTGGTACGCGGCTGCATAGAAAGTAGAAACAGTCAAAACAGGAATATATTATGTGATGTTATATTTGTACGGCAGCACAGCTCAACCGATCGTTTGATATTTATGCTTATAATAATATCCGTATACAGGTAATAAATGTACAAACAAAAACGATAAAGATGATATATATATATATACATACACAGAGCCAGGCAGAGACATGATGTATATGGAGGAAGAGTGAGAGAGAAAGAGAAAGAGAGAGAGAGATACATACACAAACACAGAGGATGAAAACTGACAGACGTTTTACAAAATATTGTTTAATATTTATCCAAATTTATAGAACGAATACGTGTAACGACATGTACAACTATATTATAACAGTTGTCTATATAATACATTTATAAATATTATAAACTCTGGAATGGAAACATTATATTTAATATTTATATATATATATATATTATGGTTTCGAGTGACTTTTGTCCGTCTTTTATACCAGCTTTTGTACCACCTATTGCATGGAACTATTTTTCTGAAATTTCTGTCCAGTTTTTCGTACTAATTTTATGTTGAACCTGACTACTACATACGCTCCACTATGATTTAAATACTCGATGTAAACATAGTAGCCAAACAAAATTCCAAAACCGTCTCCATACCAACATAATATATTTCAACTAATCGTAATCGCTTACCAACTATAGCAGCCAGTAGCCTAACAAGAATTTATACTATCTACCAAAGAATACGTCGTTTAAAACCAAAATGGTGCAGAGATAAAAAAAAATATAACATATACAAGCACAGTGAAGTTCCATTAATAGACACTCGTCGGAGGGGTATATAATATATATAGTATATTATAATAATATTTTATATATTTTTAAACCTAACGGTTAACAGTGGAGTGCTGAACTGCAGATTTTATCCTTGAGACAAGACAAAAGTATAAGGACCTAGCCGAAATACTTATAGATTTTTTGTTGTCATTTTTTTTTTTACCGCAAAGAACGACATTTTAATTGTAATTTAATAAATAATTTTTGTATTTTTAACATTTGCCGAACACACCAACCCATTTAAAAAGTGAGTTGGTATAATTGACTCGGTAAAATCTTCTCTGGCAAGCCACGGATATACTCCGCTCGGCGTTGACGATGTAGGGACAGATACATAATATTATTATGATATTATTCCAACAGCGTCGGAAACCAAATCGTGTGATGGTGCGCGTGCGCGCGCGCGCGTGTATGTGCGTGTATGTATATATATTATAGGGGACTACCACCGCACGCCCCGCCCCTATGACTAAAAGCTATCCAAATCAAACAAACCGACACGAACTTGCAGAAACACGTCATAAATATATACGTACAAAACATACAGTCGTAAAATAAGTCGTCGTCGCCTCCACCGCCGCCAGCGTCATATGCCCGCGTAACCATGGCGAAAAGTTATTTGCACAAATCCATATTTGTACCTACGCCGCACCCGCACGGTCGTTTACGTTTACCCGCACACACATATAACATAATTTATATATACAATATATCTACCTATATAATATTTCTGAGTTATTTTTTTGTCACTCACGTTAGTTTAATACGCAGAGTGGTGACAACATTTAATTCTCAATTTAAAACCTCACACTGCGCATAATATTATGGTATAGATTCGGATATATTTCCGGTTTCGTCGTATTTTTTTCCGTCCGACCGATATTTAATATTATTTTGACTTTAAATATTATAACTGCGCCTACAACGGAGTCAAAATATACCTAAACGGCCAAACGTACGTCGTACACATATTTGTGTGCTCTCGTTGATGGTCGTATCGACTCACCTGTCATATTAGATCAATTTAATTTTAGAATCCCAGTTTTTGATTCCCGTAGTATTATCCTGTTCTAGATTCCTTTTTTTTCAGCTTATGATTTATTAAACAGTTCTTCTCTACGAATGATGAGAATAGCGAACGATGATTCATCTTTCATTCATCCCAAATAGGGTAGGTACTAAACCAGTTGGCAGCCACAGAAAAGTTAACTACTTTATGTGTTACTGTTTTGAATGTTAAACTTATTTATAATTTAGTTTTAATTAATAAATATTAAAAAATCACTAACTAACGCCAGGGGAACTGAGAAGTAAGATTAGGTTAGGTCCATTACACATTTACGCGTCTATAAAACAACTGCGACCTAGGCATATTAAGCAATTTTAAATTTGAATCCATTATTATTTTACTATACATAATTATACAGGTTTTAGTGACGTCAATTGCAATTCACAAATAATTAATGAGTTATAAAGTTCAAGTTCTAAAAAAACTAAACTTAACTAACTTAGAGTTAAAATTTAATTAGTACAATATAGCAATATAATATGCAGTTACTACCTATAGGTACCTACGTACAATATAAGTACATGTTAAGGTGACCAGTTGCCAGTTGGGTACCACCCTGTAGTTGTCGAGTGGGTCACTGTAATGGCTGGCATTTTGAATTTAATGCTATACCTCTATTATTGTATTTTATTCAATTTATAATATACAAAAAACACCTAGCTTTATAGTTAGTACCTACTACCATACTGACTAGCGTAGAACAGTTTGAATAAGTTTACGATGTTTAATAAATAGACAATACCTTAAAATAAATTAATCTAAACATTTTAAAAATATCATTGCATCATTGCACACCTTAGGTAAGGTACCTATAGTAAAATTTATAATGTACGTAAAAGTTTCAAATTACAATTTCTATTTCTTACTTCCTACCTGAGATGTTTACGTCGCGACTGTACTCCACCCTTCCTCAATTTCAGCAACGCATCAATCCCTTGAAAGCCAACCGTCAAATATCTTGGTGTCACATATTTTGACAAACGACTAACCTAGTAGCCGCATTTATCATCCAAGCTTCAACAAAGTTATCAACGCCTAGCAATGCTGTTCCCTATTTTAAACAGGAAATCAACTTAAGATGTAGAATGTTTCCGTACTTATTTACAAGCAAATAGGTACTGCGCCATGTCATTTGCTTACTTATGCTTGTCCCATTTGGGGTAAACCGCAAATGTAAGCTGAAAAAAACTTCAAATATTTCCAAACAAGACCTTACACGAACAATAACAAAAGCTCCATGGTTTTTAAGATGCCAATATATTCCAAAGACCTCAAAATTCCATATCTTCAAGACCAGTGGCCCACATTAAAAATTTGGTCGATAGTTTCTTCAAGTCTATTCAGAAGTCAACAGGATCAATGCAGTACCAACATAACACAGGACCACCGATCCAACTCCACCTAAGCCGTGGTTGCCCCACCAAATCGCTTAAATAAACGATTAGCATTAAGCCATCGCAATAACTATTTGTCAATTGTCTCTGCCCGAGATGGTGCAAATTACAAACGCAGTTTAAACATTTAGGACCGAGGCTAGAACCCGGAACCGTGTAACAAATAATTAAGATAGCACCTCGTCGTGTCGTGTAGTGTTCCTTAATATTTAATACGTTGGTAGCAAAATGTTGGTCACACGTTACCTACAAGTTGAATATATTCAACTCTTCACGACATGATGAGGTGTGAACACGATTAAAGATATATCTAACCTAACCTAACCTAGATATATCTTTAATCGTGGGTGTGAATCCACCTTGAAGTTAAACGAATATATAACTATACATATTGGTATATAACATATTGCCCGTACTGACAACTGACTACTGGTATAGACAGTATAGTTGTTGATCATCGCTCGTGAACGTGGATATTGGAATTTTTTTTGATAAAATATTCTTGTTCAAATTTACTTGTTCTGCTTTGGCAGTTTAGCATGGATTGTAAATATTTAGTAAAAAAATTTTAACTTTTTTTCTTTTCAACTTGTTCTGTGTAAGCATGTAAGTATTGTAAGTTAAGGCCTAAGGCGGTGTTAATTGCATCTATGTAATATGCACTAATTACACGACTCATTGCTTTGGTGTGCTCCTGACCTGCATTTAAAGTTTAATGTTACTTTTCTTTCTTTTTAACTTGTAACCTAACCTTTTAAGTTGTAAAAGTGACGAGTTGAATAGAAAAAAGTAACATTTAACTTTAAACTTAGCCTTGGGAGCACACCAAAGCAGTGCAGTTGGAGTGCAAAAACAGGCAGCCAGGTTATTGCAGTGGGAATGCAGTGAGACGAGTCTGTTCACTGCTTTACACCAATGCAGTGAACACCGCCTTAGATTTTAACTTGCATGTTTCAATAATTCTTTAATTTAACAAGTTAACAGAAATTAGTCCAATATATCAAATGTTTACATTCTGAAAAACATAATCAACAAAAATTATTTATGGTGAATTGAAATTAGACTAGCCAAATTGTTTAGTCTCAATTAAAATTGTTAAATTATTTTTAGAACTATTATATTATTTTTGACTACCTGAATGGTTAATTTACAGTTTCAAAAAAAAACTATTTTCAAACAAAAAATTTAATAGTAGAAAAAATTAAATAAGTACCTAATAATGTTATTTAATCTATGGTAATAATAACTGAATAAAGTAGTAACTAAGTTCTGAAATACTAGTCCTTAAAACTTTATCAAACCATGCTTATACTAAGTCAGTAACATCTAAGTAATGATTTAAGGTTAAAGAGTGGTGTGAATATTTTTAATTATTTTATTTGAAATCCCAATTCTTGTTTTGACAAGCAAAATCTTCTGGTTTCTGTTTACCCTTTTAACACAATGAATCTATTAAAACTTATTAATATTTACTGTAAATCTGTAATGTTGAAAAACTATTCAAAAATGTGTTCTTTTTTTGACATTTTATTGCCACTGTCCATTTGTCTAGTACTCTTATCTAACCTAACCACATTTATTAAATACATTGATATTACATGCAAAAACTAATAAGTAGTAACCAATTTTGTAAATGGTTAGGTTATGGTTGCCAATAATATTAATGATTGTTAAAAGTATTATAATTGTGTAGTAATTTACTTCATGGTAAAACAACGACAATATTTTGATTAATATTATTTATGGTTATAATAAATTAATAAGCATTCAGAAATATTAGTACATTTACACTATTTAAAAAACAAATTAAACCTATTCAAATAAAATTTATTAAATATTTGGTTCTGTAATCTCATTGGTTTTGTTTTACAGGTTAACTGTAAACTGTTGGCCTTTTTTAATTCCATAATAAATGATTCCATTTTTCAAGAAGGCCCATGCCATCTTAGGAGAAGAAAAACCAATGCCAACATCCCTATTTTTGGAAATAACAATAGCTCCAGCGCTACCACCCACACGGGCTGACATGCCGTCACATGCTTTCTGAGCTGCAATGTCTGGCGCTTCGCCTAAATAATATAAAATATATTAGAAATAAATATAATTTTTAGATAGTAATAATTTGTACCATTTTCCAAGTTTTGCATTATTCTTTGAGCCAAACAATAGCGCATTATACTATCACCGTGGCCAGTGGTTGAAATGGTGCCTACAGTATTATCACAGTAACCACCAGCACCAGGAACAGGTGTATCACCAACCCTACCTGCCATTTTGCCGGTGATTCCTCCTGTTGAAGTACACGACACCATATGCCCGCTGTTTCCATCCATACCAATAGCACCAACAGTGCCAACACCTCCACTACAAAACATAATATATATTATATTATGTTAAACAGACAATTTTTATTTATAGACATATATTAATATATTATTACTGTCCAATTTCAGTTGTGATGGGTTCACTACCCGATTTCAAAAAATTGTCCAAGCCTATTTTTGCATCACTTGTTATCAGATAATCATCGCTGACAGTTTAAAATCCCAATTTTTGGGCAAACTCATTAGCACTTGCACCCATCAAAAATACATGAGGTGTATTCTCCATAACTTTTCTGGCCAAGGCTATTGGATGTGCGATGTTTCTTACACCAGTAACACTTCCTATAATCAAACAAAAATAAATTTTACATTTATCATATTATATATTTTATAGGTACTGAATATTTCTTACCAGCCTTCATGTCTTTTCCTTCCATAATAAGAGCTTCCATTTCAATTTCTCCCTTTAGATTTAATACTGATCCACGGCCTGCATTGAATGCCGGTTCATCTTCCATATACTCAACAGCGGCTTGACAAGCATCCGTAATAGATGATGTTTTTTTATAGGTTTCATGAGCTTTTCTGATGGCAGTTATAATTCCATCAAACTTTGGTTGATCCCGGTTATCTGGTATATTTCCTGCTCCACCATGTACAACAATCACTGGTTCAGACATTACAATCGGATACCAGAAATAATCTTAAATACAATGGTTTAACATCAACAGCATCAACACTAAATGTTAAAAGCTAGATTTAGTACCTACTACCCTGCCTAATATATATTTAATGTAGGTATGATAGTGTTTTCGTATTAGTAATCAAATCATAATTTATACCACAGATTAAACAATGTTATTTAACCTGTAATTATACTGTAAAATACGTGTACAGTAATCTACTAATCTGTTTACTGTTAAGAGTTTACCAAGGTGGATATATCCACCTTGGCGTTTACTAAATAGTAAATACCAATATGCAATGCAATAAAATATACAAATATTAAGTAAAAAAATGTATAAAACAATTGATAGACCATTTAGCCATGTGATAGACATAATATTTTAACAAGTGTTTTATCTCTTATCAATTAAACTATGGAATACTGATTAATAGCTTATATAATTATATAAATATTAACTTCAGCGTTAAGTTTCATTAAATTTTGTATTCAGTTCAGTGTATTGACTATTTAGTACACCAGACACCAAAACACGGGCTAAGATAATATATTCTATTATTAAGATTAAAAACTTAAGTTATACTTATTATATACATTTAAGTTTTTATACAATTTTACTCATAGGCCATAGGAGTAATAACCGTACCTGACACAGTGATACTTTTAAAAGTTTTTAATTTCTAGTCTATAACAGTTATTTATTATTATTATACTGTATACCATAGTAGTACAGTGGATTTCGCTTAATGTGGGCACGTTGGGACCAGCCCAGTTTGCCCATAAAAACCGAATTAACATTGTTAATATAAGTTTGTATTGGGACCAGCTCTGTTTGCCCACAATAAGCGGATTTCACTGTATAGTGCTATAGTATGCCTAAGCACATTTACGTTAAAATCATAGATATATACAAAGTAATTTTTTAAACATGCTCACACCCATTTTTTTCTTTTAATAATACTTTAATTCAAATATTATGACTTTGTTTTTTAGAATTTTAAAATACATCTACTTTCTCAAATGAGCACCCCTACTGAAAATTATTTAGCAGGCGATTTTCTTGAACATTTTATGCATCTTTTTCAAAGCTCGTGCCTCATACTTCAGTGAAGCACCATTTTCCTTATGAAACATTTAAATTTTCTGCTTGTATAAATATTGTTCAACATGTGGGAGTATATCTCTGAATCTAATCTTTAGATTATGTATATTTCATCATACTGAAATACCAATGAGGCAGAGCAATTTTTTGTTTGGCTAATAGAGGATTATACATGTATATTAATAGCAGGATTAATAAGATTTTTATCATTAATCACTGGTTATCTAAATAAAATTTGTTAAAAACTAATGAAGGATCTTCAAAATTGATTTTTAAAACATAGGAAACTTATGAATTAATGAAAAATTAATAAAATACACGGTAAAATATTAACAATTTATCATTTTATACTTATTTATTATCAAAGACAAAGTGTTTACAAGTTTATTCTTCGGTTCCGTCAACATTTTCCGTACCCAATTTTTTGAATGTAGGTACATTCACCCAGGTAACCAAAGTGTATAACTTGTGTGGTGAATCTTCATCGTCATTTCGTCTCCTTGCTAATTGTACACGAATGCGGAATGGTACACTCCTACAAATTTAAATACACAAAGATTATAGAAAATAATTAGGAATTATTAACTATGTAATTTAACTAATTTAGCTAATTTATTTATGTAGAAACAAAAATATGAATGTATTAAGATAATAATATAATATAAATATATTTAACTGATTTAAAATGTTCATGAACAAATGCTCTTTTTTAAAAAGATAATATACAAAGGGGGTAGAATTAAACAAGAAATTAGGTATTTACTTTTAATTATGCATTTGAAGAACATATAATTTTGAATTCACATTTATAGAAAAATTAGAACCATTTTGAGATAACCTTAATTTGATAATTTTACTTATTTATATTTTTATAACCAAAAAACACAGTAAACCTTATTAATAGACACCTTCAAACATCAGTTATTTTTTTGAAAACAGACAACAAACTTAACCCCCTGAATCGCAAATAAAATTTCATCAGGTTACATATTTGTCAAAACTTTAATGAATTAATAAATGTAGTCACAGGGGTTCTATATTATTCACGGGTACTCTATTGATGTTAATTTAAAAAAAAATAGACTTTTGTGGTTATAACTGAAATCAAATAAAAATTATCTTTCAAAACATCAAATTTAATTTGTTTATAGCAGCATTACCTACAGACCTAGTTGCTACATATAATTCCAATTTTTAAATTAAACAGACAGTAAAGTTTGTAAGAAAAATCTGAATAATACAGTATTTGTGTGACATTTTAGCTTTTATATTATCCAAATCCACCAAAAAATTTACCTGTTTGAATAAGATACATATTTATATTACCCCGCTGACTATGATAACATAATAAATAATATCAAACACAAAAAAAATTCATACTATACAACTTATTAAAGCAGTTGGGACTGATATTTAAATAAGAAAAGAACAATAATTAATAATATAATACAAACTAACTAACAAATGAAAATATTTTACACACCTGATTCCTTTGGACCAGACGAACTTGTTCAACCTAGTGTCGATGCGCACATCTTGTGTGCCCATTTGTTGGGTGGCGAATTTGCGGATTTCTTTGATCGCACGAGGGGCTCGCTTCTTGAAGCCAATGTTCAAAAGCCTCTTGTGCATGTTAATGGTATACACACGAGTAACCACCTCATTGATCGCCGATTTACGTTTTCGTTCCCTAGTTAACTTAGCCATCTTATGATTTCGTCTGCAAGACTGCAATAGAACAAATTGATAACATTAATACAAATTTGGTACCTATCTCATCGACCATCGATCAACTCAATTTGGTTGGAAGATGTTTCGACAAGACTCGGTATTAAATCCTTAATAAATAAATCGATAAATAAGTACATAAGCGAACGGAAACGACCGCGAGTACTAATTTAACTTCGAATAAAATATGTTAGTTATTACGAATAAATCGAAAAAGTTCAAGAGTATATAGGTATTTATTGTATTACCCTAAACACTTCTCAGCAATAAATAAGTTATAATGAAGTTTTAGCAAAAGGATTGAGTTGGATAAAAACTTTAACTTACCCGAGTCAGACGAGACAGAACGAAGGATTATTTGCTAAAGAGACAAATTGTTTACAAAAATCTTTGTACATTAACCTAGAATGTTGATTACCACATTTTACACTCACGTCAACGATACAAAAATAAGCTTGGTCACACTGAAATCACTGATAACAGTAGATAAAAATTTAAAAATGATAAAATATTATCACGACCACAAATATAGATAAGAGATAAGATGGATTTTTGAATTTGAATATTTTTCATAATATCATATAATATTATGAAAATATTGATAATATGATTTAAGCCCTCCAATGTATGACTAACTTTAAATTTGATTTTTGACGCCAGTTTCATTACAATTAACTACTGGTTTAAAAATTAATAATTATCTTAGTTAAAAACAATACTGTTCTACTCGTTTTCTTTGTACTTAACTAAAATTGTATTATTATTCAAATATAAATATGTGATTCCAATATAATATAGAATATTCGTTAATATGGAGGTTGATGGTAATGATTCATTTGAAGAGAAATATCTTTTAGTTGCTAAAGCTGACAATGTCAAACACATTTCTTCTTTGTTGAAGGCAGTTAATTTTAAAGACGTAAGTTGTTCTCTAAATTAATATATTGTAATATTAATCAAACTCTTCAGTCTTTTTTCTAATCTATTGCTTTTAAATTTTATACTTCCACAATCAATAACTATCTCTCCACTAAACTCGTTTATTTAATTAACAAACACAAATAATAGAATACATCAAATCAACTTTGAATACTTGTAGTATTAATTAGTTTGGGGCCACAAAATTACAATTGTATCAAATTGGCAGATCATTTAATGTAAGGATGTGTCTAGACTTCTAAGTTCTAACCATAGAGGAGCAACGGGTGAGAGGAAAAAACTAAAAAGGGATTGATTTTTGCATGATAGTCTTAGGACGTATAATGAGAAAGGTCAGTGGGAGAGGTGTCAATTGGTCAATTAAGTCCCAAAGGAGGAGAGTAATCAAATAAATGTCAGCATCAATGCAGCAAAAGGCCAGGGAATGACTAGGAGAGTGAATAGAAGTCCTGAAAGGTGTGAACACATAATGTATATTAAAAACTACTTTGTAATGTTAAATAACAACAAGAAATGTAACTATAGAATTATGCTGTTTTCAGGTTGGTGTGTGTTTTGCAACTGAACATGGTTTAAAAATTGTGGTAGAAGATTCCAAATGTGTACAAGCAAATACTTTTATAGGCAGTGAAATATTTCAAGTATGTTATAATTATTGTATTTTCCTATGTTAAGAAGCAAATTATATAAAAATTAATTTTTTTTTAGGAATATCAGCTTAATGATGATACCGTTGCCTTTCGTGTTGATCTCAATACTCTGATCGAATGTCTCACAATCTTTGATGGGTGTTCAACTAATCCTAGTTCCACAACTGCTTTAAAGTTGACATACAAAGAATATGGTTCTCCAGTAAAATTATTGTAATTGTCTATAATAATATAAAATAAATTGACAATTATGAATCTGTATTTTAATCTTAGGTTAGAAGAAGGTGGAATCATTACCGACTGCTCGTTGAGGACAATGGAAGTGTTCGATATCTTAGACTTCAGTATACCAGCAGAATCGACTACGAGTAAAATTATATTAAGGTCCTCAGATTTTAAGGACATTCTCAGTGATATAGATAGTACATCTGATTACGTAGAATTTACATTTTCTGAAGAGCCACAGTTTTTTAAAATCTTAACTTCTGGAATTGCAGGAAAATGTAGTGTAAGTCAAATGTACCAAAATATCGAGTAATATTGATTATTGTATACCTACAATTGAATGTTTGTTTTTTTTTAAGGTTGAGATACCATCCAAAAGTGAAATAATGGAGCAGTTTGTTTGCAACACATCAATTACTGTCAAATATAAATATAAACAGATTAAACCCTTTTTAAAATGCATGAACATATCTCAAAAAACATTGATACGGACTAATGAGGAAGGACTTTTGTGCTGTCAATTCATGGTGCAAGTGGACAGCCATACTTGTTATTTAGAATATTTTGTGAGTAGACCATCTCACATTTCACATTTCACATTTATTGTTTTTTAATTTGAAAATACTACCTAATTAAAAGTATCACACAAATTACTAATTTTAAAAATGAATGCTATATAAACATAGTTATTGCCCTATTTACTTGTGATATTTAGATAAAAAGATTTATCTTAATTACTCCAATATTTTGTTTCAGTGCACACCGATTGTTGATGAAGACTGATGCATCAACTACAAACACAGGACATATTTTGTCGTTTCATATATTGCCTCTATTGATTGTTATTCAATTTTATCATATAAAATACAATATTACAATATACAATCTGAAAACTAAAAAAAATTAAAGTTGGTAATATTTCTGTGAAAAGTGTACATTTTTGTACATAAAGTATATAACATAAGAAATAAAAATAAATACTTTATATTTTGTTCCATGAAATATCTAAATATTTTTTCTTAATACAAAAACATTTTGTATTTATAGCATTCGTAAATACTAAACGTGTTTCGTTTTGATCTCTGCTAGTAAAGACTAAACACTAAACAGTAAAACAATTACAAGTTACAACTATAAGCTTACACAAATCCCGTCAACATTTGTGTCTAACAATTGTAAAGAATGGTAAGAGTATCACAAATACATTTTTTTGTACTAATAGACAGTATTGTAAAGTATTTGAATAAAAGTATTCAAATAATTTTTTCTGTATTAAATACCTTTTGAAATACTTTTATTTTTGAAGTATTTGAACGTGTTTTTTATTCCTTTAAATCTTAAGTTGTTTCTATTTGTAATCCTTGTTAAATAAAATACTGTGCTACCGTGAGCTATAGTTTGGTTAAATGTTTTTCTCCTAGAAATAGTTTATTATCGACAACAATCGAAACGGTTGACAACAATCGAAACTTACAAAAGTAGAATTTTTTCGAAATGCAAATTTTTTTTTAAAAAAAGGCTTAGAATTAATTTTTTTTCAAAATGTTTTTTAACCAAATTTGTGGTTTTTTACACCCAATGCATTGGTGAGATCAAAATTTACCTAACACACTTACTTTTGAAGTTTTTATACATTAACAACGAAAAATACTATTTTCAAAATTATTCCAAAATTCCTTTGAAAACTAGTAGAAAATCATTTTTTTTACTATACACAGTTCTAAATGAAAAAGTTTTTTGTGAAGTCACAATTAGTTTATGTGACTTAGTTTCAAAGCTAGAGATATTAAATTTTGCCTAATTTATGACGTTCTGAAAAATCTAATACAGGTAAATTGGTAGGTACATTTTTTCCGAAATAGCACCAATGCATCATTAATATCAGAAAACACCAACCCATTTTTAATTGACAGTTAGATAAAATATAAATAAATATAACATAATATAATTAGACCAATATAAAATAATCATATAACTACTTAAATAGAAAAGTACAATTTTAGTTAATTAAAAAAAAATGAAAATAAAGACGTGGTCGTCCGCACGATCTTATTACACTACAGTATTATTAAATTGTACGTAGGTACGCCTAATTATATTTATAAATTTTATATTATAATCTATAAATATTATGATATCATATTATCATATTTACACATTTTCACGTAATACACGTTCTTAGAATATATATATTTTCCAAGACCGTGACTTTATACAATATATTTAATGTCTTATCAATCTTACTACTGTTATATTAATAATTATTAATATTATGAAATTAAAATTGTCTAACGTTTTTATATACCAATGTATGAAGATGTAAATAACCTACATAGGCTAGAAATGTCGTTATGATAAAAAATGTAAAAAAACCATCTTCCTCTGTGCCTGAATCCGATTCTGCATTATTTATTTATAAATGACGTTTCTTTTTCAAAAATTATTCCTTTTGGATTATACACTTGTGCCCCCAGTTTAAAAAGTTCAACCGGTTTAGAGACGCTGAACGGAAAACCTTAAGGAACTGAATTTTTTTGCCAAATAACCAGCGTAAAATTTTTTTTTCGAAAATACTGGGTCATTGAGGCTTTGCCATAACTCCACATTCCTTCAATGTTGTAAGTATGTGCTCCAGTTTCCGGATTTTTAAATTTTACCGAAAGGTTTACTGACAAATGACTGTATCCCTTATCTTTTAAACAGTCTTAACTCTTAATGTTTTGATTGAAGCAATTTATATGTATAACTTGTTGAGTTAAATCAATTAAAGCACGAACTTACTTTCCAACAATAATTAGTCTTCCCTGCAAAATCCAATCCTTTATGGCCGTCAACAATGTTTCCTTGTCACGTTTCTCCGCCGGTGTAGGGAAACAATGACCCATTTCACGCTGAACTCCACCAAATACCCACTGGCCTTCGACGTGTGTCCCCTGTGTTATTTTAACCACCCGAATTTTGATTCATCAATTTCAATGGTTTTCCCAGTACCACCTACATACGAAGTTTTTTTAAGAATAATGCACTTAAGATTGTCTCACAGTGTGAACATTTTAATTTTTAACTTTTGAATACAATGCGCGTGGTATGGGCAGTGAATATACGTGTTTTTTGGAATTCGGCGCTACTGTCCGCAAATCTAAATTATCCCTCGACTTTGTATGCAAAACCACCTCAAGTAGAATAAGAATGTTAATACGTGAAAATTAAAACAAAACTTTTGAGCGTGGTAAATAAGGGTCTTTATAAATGTTAATATTTAATGATTAAACAAAATTAAAACATTTTGTGCTGAGATAGGTACCTACTACTATACCTATATGACTGTTTAAACTAAATTGAGTAACTAATCTTCTATACTTACCGATTTCTGGTGTCGAAGTATCGTCCCGCCAAATACAACTCGGTGGAAGGACGCCCATCAACATAATATGATTTCCAAGCAATAACAATTTGTTTAAGGATAAATTCGAGGGACACTTTTGGTCCACAAATATGCAAATGTCACAATTTGATAAACAGACAAGTGAGATTTAAAAAGTGTTTTTTTTTGAAACGACTGGTAAAAATCAAACTTAACTTTTTTTTGGTATTAGTATAGGGCTGTTGACATCGCCAAACATCTCTAACTTTGAAACTTAGTCACATAAACTAATTCTGACTTCACTAAAAACTTTTTCATTTAGAATTGTACATAGTAAAAAAAAATGATTTTCAACTAGTTTTCAAAGGAATTTTGGATTAGTTTTTAAAATGGTATTTTTCATTGTTAATGTGCAAAAACTTCAAAAGTAAGTATGATGCGTAAATTTTGAGCTCATCAAATGCATTGAAGGTAAAACCCACACACTTCGTTACAAAAAAATTCTAAGTATATTTTTTTAAAAACTTGCATTCTGAAAAAAATCTACTTTTGTAAGTTTGTTATCTATAATTTCAAAACGAAATCCGTCTGACCTTGTTTTCACATTATCATGTAACACCCAAAAACACATTTTTTTGGAGAAGAAAAACCTAAAAAAATCGATGGATTTCTAAACTAGAATTATGCCAAATTATCTTATAATTTTACTATATGAATATATTATTACAATACAAGTTATTTTACCAAAAAAATAGTAATCAATTATCATTATCGTTTATTGTCAATGACGATTGATGACAGTAGGGATATTCAAATACATATAGGATATAGCCATCTATAGTGTTCACTGTTCAGTGTTTAGTGTTGGGAGTGCAAGTGTACAATTAACATGCATAGACGATAGACCTTCAACTAAGTATAAGATCTATTGATCAGCATTTTGATTAGGTACTGAACAAATCATATTTTTAAAATGCAATAAACTAATTTTTTACTAAAATAAATTATTTGTAAATACAATTTTTATTTTGTGTTTATAATAGTTTACTACAAACAGTATTTGGGTGGGATTGTTTATAACAGAACTTATAAATCAGGAAAATGTTTTGCTTTTTTTTTGCAGTCTGACCAAATGAAACAAAACAGATCTTGGATCATTAATTGTTTTTCAAAATTAAGTTCAAACATTAAATACATTACCTCCATACCAATGAGAGTAGATTTTCTGAATCACTCACTAAACATCTTGGCAGATGATGTAAACGAATTCATTTACCTCACGCCTGAAACATATGTTTTGCAATCGACTCTTCATTTAGGAATTTTATCATTTGATTCCTGTCATCACGGCAAGTGGGTTCTGAGCTTTAATGATGAACCATCTATATTGGATTTCATTAAAACATTGAAGAAAAATGACGTTAAAGTGACAGACATTCAGAAATTGTTGTCAGAGAGAGTGCACATGGAAAATGCAATAATTAAAACAGTAACTGATGTAAGTTTCCCAAATTTTGTAGCTGAAGTGGAATACATCATGAAAAACAAAAATGTTTGATCATTGGAATTAATTTTAATCAAAAATAAGATTAATAATAATAATAATTATAATTATAATATTAAAAATTAAAATTAATATTTGTCTAAGATACTAAAATGTAAATATTATTTCATGTGTTAAGTACCTATATATTATTAAAAAATAAAATCTTTATGTTAAAATCCACTAAAATATAATATTAAAAAATTATAATAAATTACACATTATTTTTTTTATTAATCTGTTTGCAACACAACTAGCTTCTTCGTTCACAAAAAAATAGGCTCATACACAAATGTTGAAGTTTTCTTTTATAAGATTAAAGCAAATATAAAAAAAAAACAAAGAAACAGATCGCATTACACATTATGGGTTTTCAGTCTTGGTAGGAGTAGTGAAAGGATTTGGGCATACCGATTTGACCTATATCAGAGCACTTGTTAGAAAATAATACTATGTAAATGGAATTAAATTTTATTTGCGAGGAGAACGACTTGTGTTGAGCATTGGTAGATCTTCGTCCTGCGAGTCCTCATCCAGTCGATTATTTCCATTACATTCTCCATTAGATGCACCGAATGTTTCTTCTCTGGACGCTTTCATTTTCAATATTTGCAACCGTTTCATGAAACCGTCTGCTTCACTTGCAGAGGCAGACTCTGGTTTTCGTATGGGCAAAGAAGTAATTGGCTTTAAACTGTCATTATTTCCTGAACAATAAAAACAGAAAGATTCATAAAATATGAATATAAAGTTAATTTTACTAGAAAAAAAAAAATGTCAATAAATTTACCATTTGGTTCAACTAAACAGCTTTTTAAGTTGTCTTCAATTGCTGATAGTTTACGGTGAATATAATCTTGAAAATATTTGGTAGTCTTAGAAATATGTGGTTCTATGTCTATATTTGGATGCTTAATTTTGAATCTATGCAACTGTTGTATGCCCTATAAAAATATAGTTATTTTGTCACACAGCGTATACTATTTATATTAATACTTTATTTTTGACATACTACATGTCATGATAAAGTATTTCAATAACTAACCTCGTCAGTGTTTTCGTGTTGACCTATTAGTTGGAATATTTCGGACAGTTCGTCGTACGGTGTTCGATGTTTTCGTTTACTACTTTCGGGTCTAGGTTCGCTATTCAAATGCTATGCATATATTAATAAATTGGGATTTAATAAATGTTATAAACTATGTGATGAATGATGATCAAAGTAAATGTTAAATAATTAATAATTATCAATATTCATTACCCTTAAAAGTTTGTGTATGTAAACAACCATTTCTGAATCTTTTGGGAATTCTGGACTATCTAAACTTTCCAATACTTTATCACTGCGTATTTTTACCATAGTATGAAGAACAGTTTTGCACGTTCTTAATGGAGTGTCTGATGGTTGTTTTTTCCAATGTTTGGAATCAAACTCCTAATTAATACATTCAAATTGCGACACATTAAAATATGTGAAATTAAAAATAATACAATTTATATAGCTGAAATTACCTTTAAAAATCTGTGTATATGCGCAAGTACCCGCTCGTAGCATAGTTCATCTCCCCACTCTTGAAAATCTTTTACTATTTTCCATATACATTTCATTACTAATTCTTTATAATGAGTAGACGAATTCTGGGGAGACTTAACCGTGTCATAGAGCATTGCCAAAAGAGCACTGGGAAATTATTATGTTTGTTAAAGTATGATATAAACATTATCGTAGAGCAAATTCTTACCATGTGACTGGTGTATGAGCAGACCGTTCCAGAACATTCATAATGAGACTGTTCACACATCGTCCAAAAAGCTGAGTGTCTGTACTATTTTCCGGTCCCTTCATACTTAATAGATACAACAGTTTTGAGAGTAAGTCACGCACAATTTGTTCATTCAGTATTAAAGTAAATTCTTGATATTTGTACAACTAAAATTATATATTCATCAATAAATTGAAGATAATGGATACACCATTCAAGTGGAAAATGAACCAAGAACTGCTGGGTGGAAAATTAAACTTGAGACCCATTGAGTATTCTCACATGATATGAAGGAGCATTTAACTAATCTAATTACCTGGAGCTTATTCATTAGCATTTCATTTATTTTAGAGTCAAATAATAACTTAAAATAAGCAATACTTACATTCAAACATAAATTAAATATATTTTTATATCCAACAGTGACATCAATGTCATGAGATTCAGATAAGACATCAAACTGTTTAATGATTGCATAAAATAGTGATAATACTTTTCCCCCTTCTAAAAACTTGGATCTCATCTGAAACAAATAACACAGAAAATATTAATAATAGGTATTAAATTTTTTGGAAAAAATAAATATATGATAAATATAAATAATATGATGTTAATTCTTACATCAGGTCTCAAAAGCATTTTGTCAAGACTTGTTAGAGCAGTTTTTGAAATCTCAATATTTTGTGATGTAACTTGATTTATTAACTGCTGAATAGGATCTGGAATGGGCGCTGGTGGTGTTTTAGGACTTTTTGTAATAGTTGCAGTACTGTATGGACTCACATTTACACATGGTTTTGATGACGACATATTATCAGGTAAAGATCTAAAAATGAGAAAAGGTTATGTTAATGGACAAATTCATCTTTTTAGTGAACGTTACAAACACTGAATTTAATAAACGAAAAGTTACATACTGAGTATGATCTTGAATTCTTTTTTTGAATTTCACTTCATCATGATCTGTATTCCAGTTATATGATTTTAATTTTAATTCTGGTTTTGAAATATCTTCTGCTTCTAATTCTTTAATAAACTTTTCATCAAGGGCATAACGTGTCACTTGAGGTTCATCATAGACTTCACTAACAGGTCGTCTAATAAAAACAAAAGTAATAATTAACTAATAAAATAAAATATATTATACCATACAATATATGGGTACTTCTGTAAATGTGGACTACATGGAGTTTCTAACTATTATATCTATCTCACTGCTGTAGGCCAGTACGAACATATTATTTACTATTTATAAGCAGGGCTATCCCAAAGGGAGAATTTCAAATGTATTTAAGGTGGTTGCATTAACATCAATAAAGAATATTCTTTGACTGTTTTTGAGCTATTTATAGACATTGAAAATTAAAAATTAATTTTTGGATATTTCCTTAAATACAATTAATATTTATTTTTGCTGCATATAAACTTGGAAATTTAATGAAAATGGTAAAAATCGCAAAATAAATAATTCATACAATTACCTAAAAAACTAAAAAATATATAATATGAAGAGATAATATGGACAAAATTAGACATTTAAGTTTTTGCAAATAATGATTTTAGTTAATTTGCAATTCAAAATTATTAATCATGTAGGTACTTGAAACTTTTAAAATATATTTTTGTTTAATACAAACAATGATATTTTTAAATTTAAAATTAATTCAACCTACTGGAAATACTTACAGTAAAATAAATGACTTTAGTAGCAATAATATCACATAATATTTATTGTAATATATTTAGGCTAACACGTCTTTGTCTAGCAGGTCTTTGCTTAGAATTATTTTTTGTACACACAATTTAATATCATTGAACTCAAATTGAATACATCAAGGTGTAATAAGTACGTAATAACTATGATATTTAAATCAACATAAAAAAAATATGAGAAAATGTAAAAAAAGGAGAACATTACAAAATATAACATATTTTGAGTAACTGTGAATAAACTAATGTATCTTATAGTCTACTACCAATATCATAGTATCAACATTTTTTTTTAGTTGGACCATAAATTAATCTCGTCTGAGGAGAGTAAGGCTTACTAATTGGTTTGGGGTGGTTCTGTAATGAAACCTAATGAGATCATGCATCTACAGTTTATAATTGCAAAAGTTTTATCACCTGAATCCCATCCTTAATGCTGACGAATGTTCCATGGCAGTAGGAATGCTTCCTCCTGTTCTATATGATAGAGTGCTTGCAGATCTAGAAGGTGAATCACTTGAATATCTTTGAGGACTAGATATATGATTAGATTCTTGTGAAACGTTAAATGTAGCATTGTGTTCTTCTTCATCGGAGTTATATTCATCATCAACAATGTCCTCGGTGTTAGGTACTTGTTGAACAGGAGGTACAACCATTTTGATTGTTGGCTGAACTGTAGCCACTGGCACAGCTCGATTCTTAGATGCTCTTTTTAGTCGTTCTCTCAGAAGACCCATATCTTTTTCAGATATCTACACAAATAGTAAAAATGCATTATAAAAAATCAAATACACAAAAATCCTTGAACTGTGTTAGATGAGAAGTTTAGTTGTGTAAAAATAACTTATAATACATTTTTATTCTTACAATAATTCTAATCTAAAACTTAATTTGTCATAATAAATAAACTATTGAACTTGTATCCATAAATAAAATTATTTTTGAACGAAGATCGGCGATTTATTCAATAAGCAAATTACTATGTACATATTGAATATTTATAACTTATCATAATATTGAAAACAGTAAGTGTATTCTTACATTGCCCACAAATTTGAAAAGTGCTTCTCCGTGCAAAAAGAATGCAGCAACAAAGCAATTTAGTGCAGCTGTTCGGACAGAATTATCTCTATCTCCAATACTTTTTGCGATTTCTTTACAAGCCGCTGCAACACTAGGTTGGCAAATTGATGTACCATAATCTTCTATCATCGTCGCCAAATGCTCTAAACACTCTGTAAGTACAAAAAATATTATAATATTTTTTACTAATGTACACATTTACATCACAAAGCTGATTAATAAATATTACCGGAACGCTGCCTTGAGTTCTTTGATTTAACACCATCCATAATGTACTGAAACATTTTTGTATTTGGGAATATGAATGCAATTTGTTTTAAAATGGCACGAACATTGCTTCTCACTGTATCTTTTGGGTCACCCAACTTAAGTGTAAATAAAATGAAAAATTCATCATTAAAATTAAAATTTTATTAATATAAAATATAAATAATATTTATTTATATTTTTACCCACTTTTGTTACTAAATATGGCACGAAACTTGATGCTTCAGTAT